CCGTCTTAAATCAGAAAAAGAAAAGAGCGGGTTGGCATAATGGATTAAGAAAATTGCATAAATCCTGTTCGTCTGGCGTTGGTAATCTCGGCTTTTGTTGACTCTGCCGTTATTCTCTGCTTCCACTTGAATTCGTTGGTGCCATTACTTACAATGAGTGGCTTCTCCCTCCCCCAACGTGCAAAGTATGGGCGCAAAGGTGCTAAAGTTCGTACACTCTCAGGTACAGTAAATATTGTACAGACTGTAAGCGGCTTACTCAGTACGCTTGACTTACTAGTTGGTCGATGGCGTGGAAAATAAAATCAATTCCATAAAATAGCGTTTGTAAGTTTCAGGTCTTTTTCTAGTAGTTTTTTTTTCTGATTTAAACAAAGTAGGTATTATTGATTCTATAAATCTTTATGGTATTTTCTATGGAGGTATACAGAGTGTATTCAATAACTTTTTTTGCAAAACTTTTATTGGAAACGGAGATTAAACCAAAGTTTATTGTTTCAACAAAAATATTTGCTAAAAATAACGGGAAAGGATTACGTACTGCGCTAGGAAATTGGATTTTAAAATATTGATAATAGCTATAGAGGATTCAGTTTTTGCCAGTTCTACCAGAATAAATATTTTATGTTGGTCTGAGTAGAATATTCGTAGCTGATGGAAAAACGATGTCCTCTTAAAAATGAAGGTGATGATACGGGGGCACACGAACAAGATAAACCTAATGCTTATGGATCTTAAATAAATCTGTTAGGATACGTATTTTTTTAAAAATTCGTTATACTTTTGCCTCGTCGGTCCATTGATATTTAAATGTAAGTGAGCTGCGCTTCTTCACAAAGAAGGCTTGAAACAAAAGTTGCGTTATATTTTGCCGTGTGAGTAAAATTACGGGAGGTCCAAACCTCACCCCCTCAATCCTATCCTCAATTTTCCAATCTTCAAATTCGGTTCCTCAAGTGTTAAGGGCGTTCATAGATGGAGCTTACCTTCAGGCACATGAATTCTTTTAAAATTTATAGCAATTACTAGCATCGAGTCTGCACACATTTCTGTTACAAAGAGACTTATAAAGAAAAACCTTATTTTTCACATTTGTTCTACGCATCAGATCTTTCTTAACGTAAGTGCTAAGTAAGCTATTATTTTTTAGGTTTTAAGGATCATTAATCTTGTCACAACGCCTATTCACGTCGTCTTTATAGTAAATGTTGTATCACGCAGTTTGAAAATAGTTCGTATAATACGTTTTAGCTTTGATATAGTGTCTGGTGAAAGAACTGAGTCACTCAGGTCTTTTTGGATCTGTCTAAGCAGATAATGGCGGACTGTCTCGTTTGTCATGCACACTTATACGGATCCCTGACAGTTATTACTTTTGGGACACAGTTTTGAGTAATGTACTGTGTACCCTTTATTTTGGGTAATGGAGTTATAATGGGAGATAAGATACCTACGTAGATTTTCAAAAAACATCTGACTTAGGGGTCAGTGTGCGTACATCCAATCATCTACCTCACGCAACAGGCCCAAGCTTTTAACTCAGTATTGGGCCTAGGACATAAATTTAGATCTAATGTCACGCCTGACTTGAATCTGTAAGTAGTAACTTCGTATTCTTATTCAGTAGGAGTACAAGTGACCAGCAAAAGCTCGAATGCGTCGATTTCTATTTAATTTATCAAAGAGTAAAAGAGTTTTGTAACAAAATCTTAAAATGCTTCCCCTTTCCCCATTTCTCCCCATCTCTTACTGTCCGAAACCCCATCGCCAAAAGTCCAGCAACGCGTTTACTGTGCCGATTGTTTACTATCAGGTAATCCATCTACTTGTTTTCGACCATTTATTACGATTTATTATATTTTCGACAATACGAAAAAAAACAAAAATCAATAAATTTTTTCGAACAAACCACACCAATATTTCTTTGACAGTTAAATAAACCTTTTTTTCAGGGAACATGAATGTGAAACGTACTTGACAGACATTGTTAATGTTTCTTTCACAACGTGGAAAAACAGATTTTCTTATAAAACATGTTACAAACATTTAAACATGAAAGGAGGGTCGTTATTGTGCCTTTTAACGACTGAATGGAACACGTTTCGTGTGTTAAGCGAATTGTTTGTAACTCAAAAAGATACACAACCTTTTTATTAAAATATTGGAATCGAAATTTGTTATATATTTAAGATCAAAATGCTCATCCACAGCTTTACTTAAAAGATCTTCATCTATCTCATAATTCCGATAGTTATTGAAATAACAAAGCTGAAAAGTTTATTTCAAGATACTAATCTCTAGTTTCATCTATTGGATTAGCAAGAAATCCTTAAGCACTAAACAAACCGATTCATAAAACAACTTTATACCTAAACTAATTTACTAAAACACAGAAAGAATATTAATATTCCCCATGAAATACCGAAGAACATTTGAGCTTTAAATTAATTAAAACTTGAAACACGAATAAAAAACATTAATTACTTGTTTGCGGTAAGAATAGGTGAGCTAGTTGACCTGAATACGTAGCGTAATGGACCTTGATAGAAATATGGCAGGAAAAATAATAGAACACGTACGAAATATCTGCCCCTTGCGACCTTTTCACATTATGGGACAAAGGACTGCTTCGTTGGTCCCAGAAAGAGTCGTAAATCGTGACGTTTAAATTGCAATTTTTATTTGTAACAGTCCATTGTAGTAGCTTGTAATATATGTAATGGTTTCTAATTATTTGTTTTTAAAGTTCTAATTGGAAGAGGCTTCAAGCGTTTTGATTTGATGAATTGTGGAAAACATATTTTTAAATAATTGTCCAATCTTTTCTCTCCTCAAATCCCAGAACTTTAAAGCCAGGCAACGCACAAGTAACTTTTAGATCGCTTATCATTAATTAGATCAGTCTACTCGTTAGCTGACCTATCAGACTTACCCTAACTCTCAAATGTTTCTTTTAATTCTGGATAGAAAAAAAGAATTACTGATTCGTATTAACAAAACCGGTTTATTCATTCTACATGTTCTGTAGTTCTAAAAGCGTAATGTAAATTAAACAATATCCGACAAAAATCAAGAAAAATAATCTATTAACATTACCTATATTTCTTAACCAAACAAAATTCTATTATGACCTCTATACACACTTTTATAATAAGCTTCTAAAAGTTTCCAAGAAGGTCAACTCTGTTTCCAACGACCCTCAATATTCGCATGATGGCCCAATTTTTTTAGGCTATATGACCCTTTTTGTAAGGCACATTTCAAGGTCCTGAAAACCCGATTTTGGACTATATTTTTTCGTAATTCCTCAAAAGTGTGTTCTTAAACGATAGTCATTTTTAGGTAATAAGGAAGTTAGATCTCAGATAGAATGCTAAGCTTTAAGGATTGTAGTGTATTGGGAATTACGATTAGTATAAAAATTTCGCAATTAATTGATCGGTATAAAATTAAGTTTCCTATATAATAGACCACACAAGTTCGTAACTTGAAAGTTCTCAAATGTATTTTTAGAATAGATTTTATGAATGTGTGTTAGACAAGTAAATTTAAGAGCTACTATTGATCTAGAATTGACGAGTCTAGACTACGCTATTTTTTTGGCTTATGCCAATAAAAGACACGATGAAACCATTGTTTATTTGGCAATATTTTTTTGGTTAATGTGTAAGTGAACTATTACTTTGATATTTGATTTCCGCACTAATTTTATATACTTACAGAATTTTTTGAAAGTATGTTTTTGAAGTAATATTTGTGGATGTGTGTGTACTTACGTATGCTATTAGACTACAAGACAGCCTTTCATTTTGTTTTGATGTTTCATCTGTAGTCATGACTTTTGTCCTTATAGTTTTACCATTTTCTAATTTATTTCAGAAATTAATGTCTCTCCTGTAGGTAAAATAATTTATTTAAGTGATCATTTACCTTTATTTTCTAAATAAACACGTAATTTTGTATTAGTTTTGGTCAAATAATTTAGTAGGTACCAACCAAATGACTGCACCTGCATTATATAATTAAAAAAAATTGTATAACCTAAAAAATATTTTTTTCTGATTATTAATAATATGTGCAATGTGCATTCTAGTGCTATTCTTACTGTAGTTATTGATTAAACTATAAATAATCTATCAACTGAGCAAGAAAAATATGGAGTAGCATCTACGTCTCTCTGCCTATCACAGTAATCATTAATCAAACAATTAAAACGTTACCCTTACAAGGTTAAGTCGCCACGTCACCAAGAAGGATGCGTTTATTTAAACTGTTGTTAGTGTGATTCGTTGCGCCGCCATTTCTACATTTGAATTTTGTTCCAATTTCAAATTTCGGCCGGTACACTGTTCTTTATGTGCGTTTTTTTAATGTGTGTATTTCGAAACATATTTTAAACGTGTTATTTCTCTGTTGACAGTGTGGTGGAAACTACATTTAGTATTTATAAAGCTAGTGATTTTTTAAATAGTCTTTAATTAACCAGAGAGTGATTAAAAGAGCCCGTTTTATCTACGGTCCTCCCATTAAAATTAACATAAACCCTTGTATACTATTCGTTTGAAGTGGGCTCATTCATTTGCAATTCAATACGAATTAATAGATAGAGTAACTAGTAGCTAATTGGTTGAGGCCCTCGTAATGGTTGATACAACATTGCAATGAATTTGTTTTATTTGTTCATGGTTTAAAGTACTCAGTTGGTACAATTTATTCAAACGTTGAGATAATTTTAGTAAATTACGTCTCAGATCCTGCTATTTAAATTATTATTAAGTTTTATTGAAGTACTGAGTTTTTTCCAATTACACGTGGAATGATTCGATATTTAAAGATATTAGGACAAATTGAGAACCTTCTCTTTTTGAAGTCTGTGAAAAAATGGCGTTGTTTTTTTGAATATTTATAGGTAGAGAAATAAAAATATTTTGGGATTATATATATTTTTTGTAAAAATTAATTCATAGATGTTTATTAAGTATTTTCGAGACAATGTCTTTGATCGTCAATTTATGACGGCAGACTTTGAGTAGTTAAAAAGAGTGTGTTTTAAAACTAATTTGAAGTGTAAGAAATGTGACAATGACGTCACTGGGGATCCCCACGGAGGCTCCAGTCCATACCATATTGTTTACGTCAGCATACACGCAGAAAAATCCCATCAAGGCTGTAACGAAGAAGGTAAGGTTTATTTTCAATGCATTCACAACTTTAACTAGTATTTGATAAGATAAACATTCCCTTGGCAACGGTTTTCCATAACTCACTTTGGCAGTCAAAATCCAACAATCCAACTCTATGCATAACCATCGATTTTTGACACGAGTCGTAAAAAGATTTTGTCATAAACAGATTCCAATCCAGAAATGTTGGATTCTTGCAAGTAACTTCGTCCGTAAAGATTAGATTACTTTAAGAGATTTTGTTTCGAATAGGGGACTGCACGTCCCTTAGTCAGCTAAACCTGAGGGACCATCAGTGAGAATACGTCCATTGGCTTGTACCTATTTTAAGGATGGAACTTGGAATAAAAAGCATGTTTCTCAGTTAGGGCACAGAATATATTTTTTTAAAGCATTCAAACTTACTGTATATTTATAAATACATGTTAACAATAAACTTACCTACAAAAAATAATGAGCATCGCAATGTTTGCTCAATTTTTAAACAGACTGAACTGAACACAATAAAAAAATATTGAACAAGGAAACAATCCAATTAAAAGAAAAACATGTTCCATTTATTTTTTCAAAAATATTTCGTTCAATCTCTTTACATCTTTGGGCTTTGTAATAAAATTGCAGAAAAAAAAACTGCCAACAGCAGACATTCTCAAATTCGACGTTCCTTTTTTAAATATTAGTTTTTTTTTTCATTCTTTTTGTTGTGTTGCCATACCATCACCAACGCGACGCCATGTCACAAAATATGATCTACAAACAAAAATAATGTCGTACTTCTAACTAGTTGTCTATACGTGTCCAGTTAATGATAAATGGGTTATTAAAAAGCCATTTTGTTGTTTTACAAAGCTATTTTTCCGTGACAAATAAATAAATAATGTATAAATAAATAGTTTGGACTTGTAGAGGACTAAAGGAAATACTTAGTCTAATATATCCATACGTCGAAAATCACAGGTTGGATCATTTAAGTTAGATATAAACTCAGTTCTTATGAGTTAGCTAAAATATACTGATTGGTAGTCTTAACTGCATTGTTACTTTGCGTGGAATAAAAAAGTGTTGTAGATCATTTTCATTAGATATTATTATTTTTAATAGGCAATCTAATATGCAGTTTGAAGTCAGTCCATTCAGTTATATAACAGTAACATTTTTTATTACTTATTGGGCACAATTTAATTAAATAATTTGGTCCTTCCATTATTTATAACTTATTTATTTGAGTAATTTTGTATTGTCCTGCTTACAATAAAAAAATAATCATCTTCTTTAAATCAAGTTTATGTAAGTTGCTAAAAATGCCAATAATTGTAAGAACGTTTGGCATGATGTAGGATTTTGTAGTATTTATAATTACTTAAACTAAAGTTTAGATTTTATAAAGAAATCTTACTATAATACATATTTATTTAGGAAAACCAAAGCAATTGCAGATTACTTCCTCATGTAAAAAAACAAATGTCGTCTAATATTTTTGCAATAACCAACGATTATTTCAGACTGGCAACCCTAAAAACAGCCGCCATTATTACGTCAAAGTTTTAAAAAGTAATTATTCAAAGTCCGGTGTATGACAAGGGATTTATGATTAATTCTTTGTTTTATTTGATTCTATTGATAAGGCGGTTGAAGAATAATATGAAATTAAACAAAAACACTGCCCGTATGACGTACTTTCTATTGATTAGCTTTATTTATTCAAGTCAAAAGGAGGCTTTTGACGTAATTGTTTTACTGATGTTTTTCTAACCTAATTTTTGTATAGTACATTATTCCTTACTTTTTCTCTCTAAAGGTAGCTGTGAGGAAAATCAGATATTAATTTGTTGAGAGAGTTAATTTGCAGATGTAAAAAAATATAAAAATATATTTTTTGAGAGGGATTATAATATGTCTATACCAATATTACAAAGAGGTAAAATTTTATATTAATTTATATTTGTTTGTATGTAGGGTGTAATCTTTGGAATCGCTGGTCGGATTTTCAAGATTTCTCCACAGTTTGCTTGCTACAATATTCCTGAGTGCTATATATATGCTATGAAACATATCGCTTCGATCTATAAAAGCTGAGCAGCAAGTGAAACCGCTCGAGAAAGAGTAGCTAGTAGTAAAAAAACTTTGGGAGCTTGTAAAAGAGATAGTCTTTAAACTTTGAAGCGTATTTAAGTAGTAAGTTTTTCTATGTATCCATAAAACTAAGTTGTTTGACGAAGAAGAATTTAATCAAACAAATAACTGGCCAGTGCACATGCACTCGAATGCCGCGCAATTTAATCTGTGGTCGGCGAATGCGGGAACGTCTTTTCATTACTTACTCTGTGCTCCGGAAAGCCGGGATTTTGTGAGGATTCTCCATCTTACAATTTCTTTAGTAAATACTTGTAGCGTTTTCTTTTTGTAATTACATGGACGTTACAGGATAGAATATTATTTTATAAAATATTTCATGTTTTATGTATGAAGCCTTCGTCTGACAGATTTTTCGTTAATTGAATTTTTTTGGCTTCTATCTGGCTACACAGGTTACAATTTTATATATTATACGGGTTAAGATTCGCTTTTTGCTGATCATTATTTCAAATTATACGCAATATATATCTGTAAGTATGAAATTAACTATCACAATTACTTATCTGCTAACAATTTACTACCCTAAGAATAAAAATAAATGTATTAGTCCTTAAGTTACCATTGCGTACACATTACTAAAGTTACTTGCATTGTTACTACTAGTTGTACTGAAAATAATATGAGTGGTCTCCAAACGAGGCTCATTTTTATGAAAAAAATCAAATGTATTTTCTTATCCGGGGTGAGGTGAGAGGGAGTGTCAGACTCTTACTGACTAAAAACGCCCTCGTTTCTTGGGTGCATTATTGTGCTTGCCCTGCAAGCCCGGCCGAACCCAAGCTAGTACAACTATAATAGTAACGTAATGTAGTAACTATAATCAATAGTCATATTTTACAGTTGAAGTGATCGGCCTAAAAGTCCATGTTTTACAAAATATACATAATTATACATGATGACACCAACGACAATAACAACACAAAAAAGTTTTTAGCTTGGGATATCCTTCGGTGGAAATGTCCGTACTTTGTTATACAATTTAGAAATATTGCAACGTCCTACATACGTCATGTTGGAACCCCAATACGAGTTATGCAGTAACATCTGGCTCTCTTGCATTATTGTCAGCTCCACAAGCAATAACTTTAAACTCAGGCCACGTAGGAAACTACACTTTTCTTATTTCGCATCACTACATAGTGTGAAACAAAGTCGTTTTCTCTGTCCCTATATCCCTGTGTGTGCTAAAATCTTATTTTTTAGATTCTTTGCCTAAACATTAGTGTTACTCTGTTCACACATATCAGAATCGACTAAATGATGTAGCAAAGAAATTAATTGTAAAACTGATTGAAAAAGAGTAACCATGGAGTTTCTCGCTCGTTCTTCTCCATAGGAATCCATTGGCCTTTCATTTATTTTTCTTTATCCATTGAAAATACCTTCACTAGAGGACAGATGGAAAGACTGACACGCATAAAGTTAAACTTCTTGAAATCCTTTTTCGCTTGACGTTAAAAAGTGCCTACTGTGGTCTATTTGAAATAAATGATTTGGACATTTAAATTTTTTAAAACTACGCAACACATTCTAATGCCGTTGTTAAAAAGATAGAGTGGCGGGCCGGGGCGGGTTGCTAGTAATAAAATAATCAGTCTGTCGTATCAATGTCACAGAGTAAGCTTATACTCAATTTAACGATACTTATGACAGTTTGACAGTTTTATTTGTGGAACTTGTTAGTGGAACAGAAATAGAATATAAACTTTTTATATCAGATATATATATTTTTTTTTCATAATGCTTTGTATGATTTCATGTTGATTGTCATAGATTTATTGTTTTTTTTTTTGGTTGCCTGTTGATAATACGGTAGTTTCCAATTAATCACTATCAATACTATTATTGAAATGTCAAATACTACATTTTTCTTTGAATTTTTTATGAGATATCGTAACGTATGGCGGCTCAATTTTTAAGTCCAATATTATACTTACTTACTTATTTTTTTAAAGTTAAGTTTGTTAGAAACATCTAAAATTAGGTAGCTATATCAATAAATAATTCATTGTTTTGTAACGTCGAATTTCTCGAATCTAATAGAATCGTCTTTTTGATCTAGAAAACAATTATTTATTAGTTTTTGTATTTTGTTTTTTGTTATGTTGTGTTAGGACAATAAAAGTCATAGTTATTCCGAACAGGTATCATGGGGGGAAGTTCTAATTGCAACCCTGATGACATTTGGCAATATTTAATCCATAATATTCCCACATTTTGTCATTGGTGAAAACGTGAAAGCAAAGTAAAATTTTTTCCTACTTTGAAATTCTTTACTATAACACGATTTATTTTTCTATTGAAATGGATACGCCTACTTTATCGAGAGAAAGCCTATTTCCCTTGTAAATCCAGGCATCAATCTAGACCTCGCCAGTATTCGACAGACCAATGTAATGTGTTATGCAAATAAGTACCTTTTCTAGCCTTGTTTAGGGTTTAGTATACATTTTGAGTGTAAAAATTAAAGTACTTTTTATAATACTATGGTCGTCTATTGTAAAATTATTCTGGCGTCAATGTGCTAATAAAACCAGTCAAGACACTCGATAATATTGTTTAACTTTAAACCTAAATCTTAGGAAGTATTGCGAGATGTACTACTTAATTTTAAAAATAATATATTAACAGCTTATTCACGTATTGTAAATAACTCGAGCACGCTCGATAAGTTTCAAGTCGCGACCGGGGCTCATAATCGCGTGGTAAGCTCAGTAAACGCGGCGCGGTCTCTACTAACATATTAATCATGGCATGATCTATTTACTATTTACGTTCATATCTTCAATCTTAGTTCTACTTTTAGAGATTATTTCTATGAAAGATTTAGTAGCGGAAGTATCACCTTCGGATCTTAGATAA